GAGTGTTTTACTTCCGTTTGAGTGTTTCTGTTTGATCGTCATTTATTTTAAAACAATCTTAGCGATATATAGTAATCATACCCAAGCATTTTTAAATATACTTATCTAAGTTACCAGTAGTTAACTCTGATAAGTTATCCATCTAACCATAGACCTTGTTGTGGTTCGTTTCGAAGAATAAAAATATTTATATTTTCATGCTTAAAAAGCGTATGCTTCAATTCCTCGTGACATTAATTGAGCTAAATAAGGCGTCCTAATCTTTTTATCATATTTTGTTTATCATTGTTAATCTTATCTTAGGTATTATTGATAATAAAACATTTGATATATTTCAGAATCTATACTACTAATATTTTTGATTCAGCCACCTAACCAAGATGTAATCGTTTCTAAGCAAATTAATAGTACTGGGCAATTTTATAATAATTTTAAAACTTCTTAAGGAATACTTTTTTTAGGTACAATATATGGAACTTCTTGCCAGTTTTATATTTCGTTAGTTAAAGTACCCCTTTCATTTATGTAAAGGCATTGAAGATATGAATACCAAGATGTTGTGGCCTCTGGTATGGCCGCAGTCTCCTTTAGATTTATAGAACTGGTTTGACCTCGTTGTTGCAACTTGGTCTTGTTGTCAGGGAGACTTAGTAGAACGCACATAGTCCGAAGTCGTCTGCCATAGTAGTTGTTATGATTCCCAGCATCAGACCGTGGACTTGGTACATTCTCACTCGACCATACCAGAAGCCACAACATCTTGGTCTTCATATCTTTAATGCCTTTACGAAAATTAAAGGGGTACTTTGATTAATGAAATATTAAACTGGCAAGAAGTTCCATATATTTTACTTAAAAAAGCATTGCCTAAAAAGTTTTAAGATTATTATAAAATTGCCCAGTACCATTAATTTATTTAGAAATGATTGCATCTTGGTTGTGTCTGCATAAAAAATATTCGTAGTATGGAGCTGACGTTTATATTGAATTTTACATATCCTTGCTTTCCCAAAAGTTGTTCCCATTCAGGGTGGACTGCAGTTTTTACCTCGCATAGGTCTTATCAACACCCCCCAGTGGGAGTCGAACCGTGACAGTGCAGCATGTGAGCTTGATACGTTAATCACTCGGCCACATTGCCACGAGGGCCCTTGAGTTACAGGGCAGATGTGAACTTTAAGGAAGGCCAGGCCTTTTCTTATATCACATTCTTTGGTGGAATTGTCAATTAAGCAAACGTATTTTTGCTATAACAATCGACTACATTACATATTTTTCGTATATAAGTAGAGTTTTGAGAATGTGATGTGCGAAAAGGCTTGGCCTTCCTTTAAATTTACATCTGCCCTGTGATCCAAGGGCTCTCGTGACAATCTGGTCTAGTGGTTAACGTATCAAGCTCACATGCTACACTGTCACGGTTCGACTCCCGCTGGGGGGTGTTGATAAGACCTATGTGAGGTAAAAACTGCAGTCCACCCTAAATGGGAACAACTTTTGCGAAAGCAAGGATATGTTAAATCTAATATAAACTTCAGCTCTATTCACATCATAGTGGGAAAATTCTACTACCAGTCCTTGATCACCTTAAACAAAATAGAGTGAATACATCTCTTATAACTGATTAATTGGTATTCTCCAATCTCTACTTATATATTTCTAATATTTTTATCAATTTATTCTTCATTTCCCAAATTTTGCATATAGTACTTCCATTTGACTTTTAGATCAACCTAAAAAAAATTTGAGTTGCTTGATCACACTGCTAATTAATTATGTTTTGCCTTTGGGAGCTTAGGTCTACGAGGCATGCAGTAAAGTGGCTCTGGTAGACGAGACCAGTGCTACTGTAGGCACTTATCTGCTCAGCTGGCTGCACTCATGGCTTACTTTTCCTTCGATTAGCCGATTTAAAGGTGCCGCCCGATCTGGATATCTACTTAATTTCGATGATGATTTGACTATGCCCTTGGAAGATGGTCGATCAGAAACCTTCCGCTTACTTGACAGTTCCAGGACTGCCCTTTTTTTGTCTTCCAACTCGGAATGTGAAGCAAATACCTGTCCACATGCTCCTGGTGTCAAGCAGGTCCTTACAACCGGTGACATATCCACTGAGGGTATCGAGCTGGCTATCCGTCTTATGGCCTGTCTAACAGGGCAATCCCGTGTGCTTGCTGAGGATTGGCTGAAAGAGGCTCGCTGCTACCTTGAGGTGAAAAAGATAACTGATGCTCTTTTGGCATATGCTGCGGCTGAAAGCTTTTCTTCTTATCAAGAGCGACTTTAGTAAAATTTTGAATTGAAAAAAATATTCTCTCCCCTTGCCTTATCTTTTTTCTCACCACTTTCATTAGCACTTTTGGCGTTCGTTCTCAGTGAATTTCCTTTATAACCGCCATTTTATTACCGTTTTGCAGTCATTTTCTACTTTCCAACTCTATGCTAGTAAACTAATTTATTCGCTTCCATAAATTTTCCCCTTATCTCTACTCTTCTTCTGCTTTTATTGTCTCAAATGCCGATTGCTCCCTTTTCCCGTGCTTTTTCTCGCCTTAAACATGTA